TGCTTTAGGTGCATTAGAGCCTGTTACGGATGGATGCGAGATTTCATCTGGTGAAAACAGGGAGAAGGGCACTGCGTGCTGCGGAAGGAACGCGCTCAGAGGCAGAGAGGAACTGAAGTTTAAAAGTGCATAGCATTTGGGAGAATCCAAAGAAGTCAGATGAAGAATATTGAAGAGTGGGCCTCTCTTCCTCTCTCCTCCTACCTTTTTTCCTTCCTTCCTTCCTTCCTTCCTTCCTTCCTTCCTTCCTTCCTTCCAACTTCCTTCCCTTCTCTTTCCCTCTCTGCCTCATAATATTTTTACACCCTTTCATCCTTCCCGCAACAGTTCTGTGCCAGGCACTGGGTGTGTGCTGAACCAAACACTTAGCTCTCCTCCATGGAGCTTAGAGCCGAGCCCAGCAGGGGCAGCTCCCCTTTCATTAGGAATGTGGACTTGGGAGTTACACAGAGGATCTGGGAATGGTTCACAGCTACAGGTCCAGCTGGAAAGCTGCTTCAGTAGATCCAGAGAGGGCAGACTTGAAGCTTTTATCAGGAAAATTGCTGTGGTACTGCAAAGATGGGGCATGTACAATTGTTATCAGAGCTTGGTGGAATTATTACACAGTACAGTGTAAGGGTTAAGAGCATGACCCTAGGAGCCAGTCTACCTGGGTTTGTGTCTCGGTTGCCAGTCTTACTAGGTGTTTAACCTTGGGCAAATGGTGTGACTTTTCTGCCTCCATTTACTTATTTACAAAATGGGGATTATAATAGTCCCTCCCTAGTAGAGTTGTCATGGGGATTAAGTTAGTGAATACATGTAACCTCTTAGAAAAGTGCATATAACCTCTTAGAAAAGTGCCTGGCACATATTAGCCCTATATAAATATAGGCTGGGATTAGTCCACTCAATGAGGGTGGACTTCCAAAAGAGCAGCTAACTGGTTCTGTTTTGCTAGATACACTAGGTCCCATAGTTTGTGTAAAATTGAACAGATTTTGAGGAATATAAAAATATCAATGCATATCCAAATGTTATGGAAAGAAATAAAATAATAGCAACTATTTAGAGCCAATCTGGTCATTGTTCTTTTACTTCCCTTTCCAATCTTGGGAAGCAATTTAAGTAAAAAATGCCTGTGTACATATATATATACACACAAACACACACACATATCAAGTTTTAGAGGAGAGAACGTGTGCTCAGCAGCTGACAAATTTTGTTTAAGGTTCAGAAATGTCTTACAAACCAAAACCCAGGTCTTGGATACCACTGGGGTAAAGAGAGGAGCCCCGAGAGACTCATCTGCTATTTTTATTGTCCAGGCTAAGGGCCCATTAGCACAGCTCCTGCGGCTGAGCCTGTAGATGACGCGCCTCCCGGGCCAGGATGCGAGGGGAATGCTTCCTGCTAGTGGGAAGCAGCATTATTTTTGCTGCGGGAGGAAGGTGAGCGAGTCCCACTCACAGCACACAATGGCAAAAAATAAGAAAGATCAGTATGTAGTGAGCAAAGAAATGACCAAGATGCTATCAGTGTTCAGAGGGAAATGCCTGTGTTCATAACTGGTTTAATACTTTTGGTTTCGATAATGGTTTGTTCTCATTAGCACTTCAGTGAAATGGTGTTACTTTTAAGGTTCATCGGCTTATGAAGAACATTGATGCACTTTCAGACAGATTTGCATTGTTAGCGAAGGGATAGAAAATGAAAAACTCCAGTGAGCTCATTATAGATGTGAGCAGTTTATCTTGCTTTAAAAATAAGCTTCAGAAATCTCAAATTCTTATATCCACAAAGAAAAATTATGTTTATGAGAATAGCAAATAATTAAGCTTCCCAGTGTACTGTAATCGAGTTCTTTTTTTCCTTGCTTCCTGACATAATTTTGAACACATTAAATCCAAACTGCCAGCTATTTGAATCTTAAACTGTTTTAAATTTGGTGTCACCAAACAAGTTCGGGGCATCAGTATTTCTTATTCCTAGTAAGTCTGTCCCTTTAATCATTCCCTTTTCTGCTAAGGAACAGCTAAGCCTCCTGTCGGAAGCCTGCCTCCTAAGCATCCTTCCGCCCCCATAGTCGTACTGATTCAGAGACAGAGCCACCACAGTTTCCTTTGTCCCAGGAGACAACACAGCCCCATCAAAACATACCCACCAGTACACCCAAACCTGAGTGTATAGTAGAGCCTCTGGCCACCATCTGTTGCTGAATTGTCATGCTGGCAGTCTTGGATCAATTAATTAGTAAGCTTAATTGAAGCCAAATATAATTAACCATACAATATTAAGCTCTACAAATTTAACTCCACTAAAATTACATAATGAATCTGGAACATAAAGAATTACTGGCAAACACCTTTGCCTCATGGGTTTAAAGCATGCTTTGTTTTCATCTCTCCAATGTGATTAACAAATTGGTAGAGGGTCACCTAATGCACATAGACAGAGTAGCGCCCATCTAGGATGGGTGCTGGTTGGGAATAGTTTTCTATATTGCTTGCCATGTGGTTGTATTTAATGCAAATTTTAGTGACCATCAAAGCTACACAGGAACAACACATTGACACTGACACTTGTTTGGTGACACCAATTTAAAATGGTTTGAAATTCAGATGCCTGGCAGTTTGAAATTAATGTGTTTAAAATTATGTCAGGAAGTTAGGGAAAAGCTGACTTCAAATACATGCTTGAAATACAACATTGATTGATTGGTAATGATAAAGTAATGTGACCAGTTTAATTATTATTCAGCCAGAATTGTGAAAGCAAGAACCATTTTCCAACAGATGAATCTCTGCATTAAAATGATTAGAAATATCTTTCATATAGAATTTCCAACAAACTTGGTCAATTGGTTCTGTTTTTTAAGAGAAAAATAAATGACTTTTGAGAATGAAATATTTCAAATGCATTTTGATATTTAACCTTTCATAAATGTAGAATTTAAGAGTATCATGAATATGCATGGTCCAAATGCATACTTAAATATTATATGTAAATTATTTGTGATGAAAGAGTCAGTGAGACAGTGAGAGATGGAGAGGGAAATTGTGAGTAGTGATAGACTTGCCATCTGGGGATGCACATACTCAGACTTCAGGTAAGTAAAGAGTTTAAGAAAATACCACTCACCCCAATGGACGCTGATTGTTTAAGCTCTTTTATTTTTAAAGGTTACTTAAATTGTTTAGGAATTCTTCGGACAAGCCATATGTTACAACAGCCAGAGATCTTTCCTACAGAATGAGACTCTACAGGTTGAGTTTCGTTGTTTATTGGCAAACCATAATAGCAGTTTCAGTTTGGTTTCTGTCTCAATTATGCAAAAGTGACAACATGACTAATTCTCTCAAGTTCATAACACCCTTGAAAGATTTTTTATCATTTGTACTGTGAATTCTCTCAAATTACTTTCCCCATTGAATAGTGTGTGCCTTATATAGTTTGTGAGTTTCAGAGATGCTCCATTTGTGTACAAATTCTAAATCTTGACAAAAATGGCTTCATGGATCACCCTATAGATAATTAAAAGTCAGTAATATCTAAATCTATGAAATTTACCAATAACAGACAATATATAATTTTATAGTTCCCTTATAATTAATTATCCTAGTATTTTACCTTAAACAGCTTTTTCACTTTTGTTCTTATATAATCTGATTATTTGTTTTTTGCATTTTCTCACAAAAACAAGAAATTACCCTTTTTGCAGTAGCCAAGTATGATAAAAGCAAAACAGATTTCCAAATAAAGGAGTTCTCACCATGTTACCATGTTTCTTCAGTGGGTTTTTAATTCTACGCACGTGTGAAAGATGATAATGTGACTCCCAGGTACTGAATATTCTGCAGCCATTCATGCTCAGTGCTGTTATCTGGAATAAAACTAGATTAAACGTACAGAATGGCGAATTACTGAAAATAATGAAGTTAAGGCAACTCATTAATATTTATCGCCTTGTCTATTTCGTATAGCCTGGATGAGATGGAAAAAAAGCATTTGGGGGCCGAACAGATTGAAAAGGGTCAAACGTTATGAAGAGAAACATGGGGCTGAAAATGTTTTTTTTTTCTTTTCTTTCTAAATTATACACAGCACCTTTTTTCTTACATGCCTCTGTTTTTCTTTTAGTGGCAAAGCATTTCTATAACACTGGTTGAGAAAGTTCAGATGATTGCTGTAATCCTAGGATCCCTGTTCTTAATAGCGAGTGTGACCTGGCTCCTCTGGTCCGCCTTCAGCCCCTATGCAGTGTGGCAGAGGAAGGACATCCTTTTTCAAATCTGCTATGGAATGTATGGTTTTATGGATCTAGTGTGCATAGGTAAGACCATGACGTTACACATTAACAACTGTCAGTAATCCATTTCTTGCAGCTACTGCATTTTCACCAGTCGGATGTAATACAGAATGTTGTGGGTTGCGTGATCTTGATTCTCCAGTTACTTAACTATCTGGGGCGTCACAACCTGGCCACTTTTCTCAAAAAGTATAGCGTCTATATTCCTAACTAGTCTGAAGAACTGAACGGAATAATGCCCATTTTGAGTGGCATATTTTGCAATGCAAAGGAAGGAGTCGTCGAAATTATTTGGGGTGGGCGATGTAAGGACAGTCATTTATTTCTAAGGAATGAGAGTAAACCAGTCAGTCGCCCTTCACGAAGCTGGGAAAGCGCTGATGGGTGGCAGTGGTGATATTGTGCGTTTGGGGAGAGGACCCACGCCTGGAGGTGCCACATTATGGCGTGGTGACTCAGACTCCCCGAGGGCAGGGACTTGGAGACAGTTTTCTCTGCTATCCTGTGCCTCTTGGTTTCACTTATGAAATTCAGTGGCTTAGAGGAGAAAAAGGATCCAACATTTTAGCTGGAACAGACCCTACGCTTGGCTGATCGGTTGCTTCCCTAATGCTGAGAGAAAACAAGCCCATTCATGCAGAGTTCACATGTGCGACATGTTCCAGGCGCCTTGACGGTGGCCAGGTGGCAGTGAGGGGCCGGGATGGCGAGGGGCAACCCTGGATCCAGGAGACTTTCCCTGCTCTGGTTGGTTTACAGCTTCGTGGGGTGTGGAAAGAGCTGAGGTGGGCACCTATGGTTTAAAGCAGTGGTTCTCAAAGTGTGGCCCAAGGACCACCCACAGCAGCAGCAGCAGGATCTGCAACACTAACGAATGCGCATTCTCAGGTCCCACCCCAGACCTGCCGAGTCAGAAACTTCAGCCCCATCTGTGTTTTACGCCCCTCAAAGTTCTGATACACGCTGATTTCAGGGAATGGAGCTCAGCTTGGCTCAAATCCTGGCCTCTAATCCTTACCTCTGTGTAGATAGATGGACTTTGTCTGTATTCCTGTTTTCTCACCTATAAAAATGGAAATGACCATCTCTAGCTCACAGCCTAAATAAAGGAAAGAATGATTATAAAATCATGTTATTAATTACAAGTTGTAAATTAAGGGTATTTGAATAAATCACAATGAAATAATTTAAATCACTTAAATGAATGCCTCTGCTCACCAGAGCCTTAATTTAGCTAGCAGTTTTAATATTCTAAGTCATTTTTTTCTAAAAGAACTCCATAAATTTTAAAGTATGATCAGCCTGAATTCCCCCTTTTTATCTTCTTTTCTCCTTTGTCACTAGTGCAAACCTAATAAGAAAGAAAATGAGAAAGGAAAAAAAGAAGGCAGGGAAATGTCATGAATAATATGTAAACTGAGCAGATGTTGCCTGAATAATTGAACTAATCATGTATATGAACAGTTTGCATTAAATGTGATAATACATATGCAAGCTTTTGGAAATTCTAAATCTCTATACAAATGTAATCTCGAGGGCAGTGCTCTAAATAAGGAAGAATTACAAATTGTTCTACAAGTCCCTCAACATATTTAGAGATAGTATTTCTTCTGTCTTTCAACATAAATGTTGTAAAATGTGGTGTTCCATTCATATTCAAAGGAGAGGTGAAAAACAAAGAACCATTAGGTTCCCAATTCAACCTGGAGGGGGAAAAATTTCAGTTTACCTCCTTGATATTATTTTCTTGAATTTCAAAACTTGCATTTAGTTTTATTATACCTCAGATTAAAAAAAAAAAAAATCTTTATTGATTTCAGATAGAGGAAGGGAGAGAGGGAGAGATAGAAACGTCAATGATGAGAGTCGTCATTGATGGGCTGCCTCCTGCAGGCCCTTGACTGGGGATCGAGCCCACAACCCGGGCATGTGCCCTGACTGGGGATCGAATCGAGATCTCCTGGACCCTAGGTCGATGCTCAACTGCTGAGCTATGCCCAGATTTTGATTGCTAATGCCAGACTTTTAATCTCGATTATTAGAATTCTGCTTTAAAAAGCACATAGATATGAACTAATGATCTTTCAACAATATATGACATATTTGGGATTCTGTTTTGAAATCTGGGTGTTTCCCATTTCATAAAGTGTTTTAGGGACAAAAAACAATTGATATTTTCCTGGAGACACTTTGGAAGTGGGGTTATCATCTAAGTTTTAAATATGTATTGACAATACTTTTGTCTCATCAAATCTAAATCTCATTATTCCGTGATTTATTTGTATATTTTGAAAAATATTAAAGAATTTAGATTAAACAACATTCTTGATTTCACTCCAAAATCTCAATAATTAGTCTTTTTGGTCCCAGAGAAAATCTTATTTCCACCCCCAAGAAGTTAGGCAACTACTATAATCAAGAAAGCAAATACAGGTAGGCTACCAATAGCCAAATAGATCATAGCCTGTAATGGCTCTTGCTAACGTTTCAAAGTAATTCATATGTCTGCTAATTAAGTGTAGACAGTGACAAACAAAGTAGATTACATTGATTATACCTCAAATACCCCTGACAGAAAGCCTTTGAATCAGAGTAGAGTGAAAAGCTGGTTTATAGCTTTGACCCCAATTTGCTCAGCTTAGTTTAATAAATATTTATTGAGAACTTTCTATGTGTCAGACAATGCGATAGAAGCTGAGAATAAAAATAAGAGTCAGTCACTTTCCTGCCCCCAAGGAGCTTCCAGCCCACAGGCAGGACAGGCATCTAAGTAACTAGAACGCAGTGAGACATGCACAGGATGGAAGTACGCACAGGACAGTAGTTGGACAAAGCTGGAGAGATTAATACTGGGGTGTTGTATGCAGGGAGTGGATAGATTCAGGCAATTTCATGGGGAAGTGAGAGCCAAGCAGGCTGACGGATGAGCAGATGCTTGGCAAGTGAGGAGAGATGGCCCCTTTGTCACTGTTGGAAGTAAGATTGGCTTGCCATTCAGAGGGCTTTAAAGTAGTTGAAAACATTCCTACATTCCTGTTTATCCAAGCTTTTCAAACTTGTTTATGCCTCAATGAGGAGGAGCAGATTGGCAGCTTCATAAGTGTTCTTTTTAAATAATAATTCTGAAAAATCTATAGATCGTTCCACAATCAAAAGATGTTAGAATCCAGCCAGTGTATGTCATGTTTAGGAAGGGATTCTTATTGGATTGTTAAATGGAAGCGTAAAGATTTGTAGAAAATTTATTTACTTGGGAAATTTATTTATTTCCAGACACAGTGGATTTCTTTTTGCTTTTATTCATTGTTAATAGGTTTTCTGCCTTTCCAAGACCCAATTTCTTTTTACTGTTCAATTTTGAATTCTCCCAAGGGTCTAGGCACTCCTAGAGTTGAAATACCTAACTCAGGGCTGACCAATGGAACTTTCTGCAGTGATGAAAAAATTGTGTATCAGTGCTGTCTAGTACTATAGACACTGGCTACATTTGGCTATTGAGCACTTGAAATATGGTTAGTGAGAATGAGAAACTGAATATTAAACTTAATGTTATTTAAATTAATTTAAGTTTAACATAAATAGCCACATGTAGCTAGCGGCTACCATATTGGACAGAAGTCTGGATGATGGAATGGTAAATGCATAAGGATTTGATTAACAAGTTTCACCAAGTCTATATAAATAGGTCATGTTTCCTAAATGATGAAGACACTGTTCCGTGAGAGGTAAATAAAGTGAAAATGAGTCCCAGAGGATTGAGAGAAGGAAGGGGCTAAAGGTGAGAGGATAGCGGTCAAGAAGCAGACAGAGAGCCATAAGAGGGAGGCGTGCCTTATGGAAATGGAGGTATAAAGAGAGAAAGTTTTATATTATATTTGGAGAGCTCTTTTAAATATTTAAATAGATGGCATTTAGACTATCGTTGTGCACCAGGGAAACTAATATAAAGGATTTAAAACACCCAGATGTTGTAGCCCAGGGGCAGTAATCTAGGGAGAAGTAATAACCAAAGTAGACTCATGTAGGCTCCCTCCGAAGAAGATTTGGACAGTGGACAAAGGAAGGTTAGCGAACTCAGAAATGAAGAGGAAATGCTGGCAGATGGCACTGGGTACAGCATCTGCTTCTTAACTTTGTACTTTGCATATTGAGAAAATAGAAGGCTCTCACTTCTATTGGTCTTCTGATTCAAAGCAAGTTTGGGCCCCAAGAGGAATATGTTTATTAATGACTCAAAGATTGAGGGACTAAGAGATGGCCATAAAGACAGGGAGTCATTTGATTCACTTGCCTCTGAAAAGGGAGGGCAGTTACAAAGCCATTTAGTGTCTCATAGAATAGAGGTGAGTTCAGTTTCTTGTAGAAGTAACAAACTAAAACTAAAACCCCTTTATGTTATCAGGGTTCCCAAAATAGAGATAGCAGTGCTTATACCTAATCTCATTAACACTATAAAGTGGTGCCAAGTCCATGTCTGGAAAATGTTTTGATCTTCCCTGAGATACTAAGGGAAGGAACTAATTAATTATGGTTACAAAATTTAAAAACTTGGATTACTTTTGTTCTTTTAAAATTTTTTCTTAATTATCCATGCAAATATATGCATATTCAAATTAAAAAACACCTTTGTATTTATAATTGTGAAATACAGAAAGTTTAAAACAGACCATTTTACTCACCTGCTCGATTATGTCAGTCCATTTGAAGAAACATCCCCTCCCGACACTGTGTTGCATATCCTCCAGATCTTTTTCATTAGGTTAACATGCATGTGGGCACCGAGACATTTATGTATTTTATTTTTCATATAAGCAGGAGTAAAACTATTCATATCATTGAACAAATAGTCATGTTCATTCAACAATAAGACCTCGAGCTCTTTTCGCATTAGAACAGAGATGTACATGATTTACTTAAACTTTCTTCCTTTGCTGGATATTTTTGCCAGTAGGAGCCATGCTGCAAAGGACATCCTTTTGTGCATTTCTGTAGGCCAGATTCCAAGGAGTGGGAAGTCTGGTTTG